GTAGTAGTAGTAGTAGTAGTAGTAGTAGTAGTAGTAGTAGTAGTAGTAGTAGTAGTAGTAGTAGTAGTAGTAGTAGTAGTAGTAGTAGTAGTAGTAGTAGTAGTAGTAGTAGTAGTAGTAGTAGTAGTAGTAGTACCCGTAATAATCGTAACAGTAGTAGCACCAGTCGTAGTAGTGGTAGTAGTAGTAATAGTAGTAGTAGTAGTAGTAGTAGTAGTAGTAGTAGTAGTAGTAGTAGTAGTAAGAGTAGTAATAGTAGTAGTAGTAGTAGTAGTAGTAGTAGTAGTAGTAGTAGTAGTAGTAGTCGTCGCAGTAGTCGTCGTGACCGTACTACTAGTAGCGGTATTCATAGTTGTACTACTGAGTGTAATTCCAAGAATACATGCATCCACTGGAATAGCCGCAATACTAAGGGTGCCAAAAGCCTGTGCTGGCCGAGCCAAGCATGTGCTGGCGATCGGGTGACCCACGCGCGGGCGGGTCACCCGAAATCCAGTTGGTCACCGTTCAGGGTTCAATTCAGTTTCCAAGCCCAAATGCCGATTCATCCATTGCGTACAACTACAGAAATAATTCCCCACGCGCGCCTCCGCACGCGCGCGCGACCGCGATCGTGTGACCACGCGCGTGCGGGTCACCCGAAATCCGGATGATCGCCGTCAAGGACTCCCTTCATTTTCCAGGCAACTAGGGCTTTTTGGACACTAAAGAATTCCCCACGCGCGCGCACGCGATCGGGTGACCCACGCGCGTGCGGGTCACCCGAAATCCGGGTTGGTCACCGTAAACGATCCACTTCTGTTCCAAGCCAACACTGCTATTTGTTTGTGAGCAACGGAATTCCATACGCGCGCGTCCGCGCGCGCGCGCAGTCGGGTGACCCACGCGCGGGCGGAACACCCGAAATCCGGTTGGTCACCAGTAAGGGTTGGTTCACTTTAGTTCCGGGCCAACATTGCGGACAAACGAAGAAATCCCTACGCGCGTGTGCGCGCACGCGCGCGCGAGCGCGATCGGGTGGCCCCGCGCGGGCGGTCACCCAGAATCCGGTTGGTCACCGTAAGTGGTTCACTTCAGTTTAGGCCAGGAAAACATGTCGACTTTCCCATTGTATGCAAATGTAGAACTTCCCACGCGCGCGTCCGCGCGCGCGCGAACACAATCGGGTGACCCACGCGTGGGTGGGTCGCCCGAGATCCGATTGGTCACCGTCACGAGTACACTTTACTTTCAAAGGCCAACATGGAGAATTTCCCATTCTGGGCACTTCAGAGCACGCCACGCGCGCGTCCGCGCGCACGCCATCGGGTGACCCACGCGCGGGCGGGTCACCCGAAATCCGGTTGGTCACCGTTAGTGGTTCACTTCAGTTTCCAAGCTGGCCTGTCTACTTTCTCATTGTGGGCATTCGAGAATTCCCCATGCGCGTTTCCGCGCTGGCGCGTGAGCGCGATCGGGTGACCCACGCGCGGGCGGTCACCCGAAATCGGGCTGGTCACCGTTAAGGTTTCACTTTAATTCCCAAACCAACATGGCTACTTTTCCATTGCGGACAACTAAAAAAAAAATTCCCGCGCGCGCCTCCGCACGCGCGTGTGGGCGCGATCGGGTGACCCACGCGTGGGCGGATCACCCGAAATCTAAGTGGTCACCACTACGGGCTCACTTCAGTTTCCATGCCAACATGGCGACCTCTACATTGGGGACAAAATATACAAAAGACCATCGGGCTCACAAGGCCTTATAGGGCTCATGCGGCTCACAGGGCTCATAAGATTCATAGGGTTCAGAAGGCTCATGCGGCTCGTGTGGCTCATAGGGCTCATGGAGCTCATAGAGCTTGTAAGGTTTATGAGGCACAAGGGACTCATCGAGCTCATCTGGGGTCATAGGGCTTAAGCGGCGCTGGGGCGAGAACTAGATTTTGAAAACGAACCTCCCTCATCCGTGAAGTTCTGGCAACGCTTGTCAAACGAATGTGCGCGGCGCTGAGGCGAGATTGATAACGAGAAACCTCTGCAACGTTTTCAAAACGAATGCGTGCGGCGCTGAAGCGAGAGCTCGATCTTGGAAACAAGCCGCCCTCCATCCGTGAAGTTCTTGCAAGGTTTTCAGAACGAGCGTGCGCGGCGCTGAAGCGAGAACCACAATTTGAAACAGAGCCGCCCTCCAGCCGTCAAGATCTTGCAAACGTTGGAAACGAATGTGCGCGGCGCTCAGTCGAGAACAACATTTTGAAAACGAGCCGCCCTCCGTGAAGCTTTAGCATTTTTTTCAAATGAATGTGCGCGGCGCTTAGGCGAGAGTTAGATGGTGAAAACAAGCCGCCCTCCACCCATGAAGCTTTTGCAACGTTTTCAACTTGAACATGCGCGGCGCTGACGCGATAACCACATTTTGAAACAGAGCCGCCCTCCATTCGTAAAGCTTTTGCAGCGTTTTCGAAACGAATGCGCGCGGCGCTGAAGCGAAAACAACATGCTGAAAACGATCCGCCCCCAATCCGTAAAACGATTCAAACGCTCTCATAACGAATGCGCGCGGCGCTGAAGCGAAAACTACATTTTGCAAGACGAACCGCCCTCCGTGAAGCTTAAACAAGTGTTTCAAATGAATGCGCGCGACGCTGATGCGAGAACCACATTTTTGAAAACGAGCCACCCTCCATCCGTGAAGCTCTTGCAAGTTTCAAGACAGAAAGTGCGCGGCGATGAAGCGAAAACGACATTTTGAAAACGAGCCGTCCCAAATCCGTGGAACTCTGGCAACGTTGCTTCAAACGAAAATTCGCGGCGCCGACGCGAGAACGACATTTTGAGAACGAGCCGCCCTCAACCCGTGAAGCTCTTGCAGCGCTTGTGCAACGAATGTGCGCGGCGCTCAGTCGAGAACAACATTTTGAAAACGAGCCGCCCTCCGTGAAGCTTTAGCATTTTTTTCAAATGAATGTGCGCGGCGCTGTGGCGAGAACAACATTTTGAAAAAACGGCCGCCCTCCACCCGTGAATCTCTTGAAAGTCTTCAGATCGAATGTGCGCGGCGCGGACGCGAGAGCCACATTTTGAAAACGAGCCGCCCTCAGTCCGCGAAGCTCTTGCAATTTTTTGAATCGAATGTGCGCGGCGCTGAGGCGAGAACAGCGAGTGGCCCTCCATCCGCGAAGCCCTTGCAAATTTTCGAAGCGAATGCGCGCGGCGCTGAGGCGATAGCCACACCATCCTTCCGGTGTAGGATAACGCTTCCCATTGCGGAAGTTTTGTCCTTAAGCCGGAAGGGGAAGCGGGGAAGGGTTTCTTAAACACTTCTTAGGGTTGATGCCTGAAGGTCTGGGTGGTACGGAAGCGCGATCCCGTTGATACGCTCCGCATGAGGCGCCGAGGCTTTCAAACAGTGGGGCCGTGGGTATAGACGGAAGCAGCCACAGGAAGGTTGTATGCCTGAGGTGATCCGACGGGGCTGGCGAGAATCACAAGCACTTTAAGAGAGAGAGAGAGAGAGAGGGAGACCTGCACATACACACACACACACACACCCAGCAACACAAACGTATACATATAGAATACAGAAGTAGACATGTATATATATATATATATATATATATATACAGCGAGAGGGGGCGAACGGAATACATAAAGAAATACGGACATACCCCCATAAAAAAAGGAAACAACAACATGAAGAACACAAGACGAGAGAGAGAGAGAGAGAATGCGAGACACAGCAGCACATATATCTACATATAATACGGACGCGTAGATGCTTGTATATAGGGGGACGGAACATATGGCGCATTGCATGTCGTCATTTCTTGGGGTCGCATTTTTTCCTGCACCGCTGGCTACCTCCGGCGGAGGAGGCCTCGTCTTACTTCCGCCGACCTTCCGCCGACTTCCGCCGAGGAAGAGATGCCAACAACCTCGATCTTCGAAGGCAAGGCCCTGTTTTTGGAACGCCTCATATGTACATGCATACATATTTCTAGAGAGAGAGAGAGAGAGAGAGAGAGAGTTGTGAGTTTTATTCACATCATGTATTCATGGAGAAAGGAAGAGAGTCAAGCCGAAGCCGATACATGGAGAAAAACCCAGAGGAGATACATCAGGAGCGCAGAGGAGATACATCAGGAGCGGGAGAGGGCTATACATAGATAGATAGACAGGTGTATATATACAAATATATATATAGATAGAGGGAGAGGGATATATATATATATATATAGAGAGAGAGAGACTACGAGAAACGAGGACGCGGAGGAGGAAGAGGAGAGGGTAAGAGATGAATCGGGGACAGGGGGAATCGGGGGCGAACGCGTGAGAATCGAAGACCAGAGGCCGTGGAAGTATATACACGCTTCCCACCCACGACGAGCTCAACACTCAAAAGCCTCCCCTCCTTCTTCTCTCCCTCCTCCTCCTCCAACTCCTCCTCCGTCTCCTCCTCCTCCTCCTCCTCCTCCTCCTCCTGCGTCCCCTCCTCCCTCCTCCTCCTCCTCCTCCTCCTCCTCCTCCTCCTCCTCCTCCTCCTGCGTCTCCTCCTCCTGCGTCTCCTCCTCCCCCTCCTCCTCACCCTCCTCCTCCGTCTTCTCCTCCCCAAGCATGCGGTGCTGAGTCTTGTCATCGCGGGGCCCTGGAAGTCCCGACCGCTTCCCTGGGACTGCCCTACATCGTGTGGAAACTGTTCTGAGGACCACTAGCGACCCTCAGGGGCAGAGAATTGCCAAAACGCGTGCGTCGTGATCGCTTTACGACGCGAGAGTGGCTGAGTCTCCTCCTCCTCCTCCTCCTCCTCCTCCTCCTCTTCCTCCTCCTGCGTCTCCTCCTCCTCCTCCTCCTCCTCCTCCTCCTCCTCCTCCTCCTCCTGCGTCTCCTCCTCCTGCGTCTCCTCGTCCTCCTCCTCCTCCTCGTCCTCCTCCTGCGTCTCCTCCTCCTGCGTCTCCTCCTCCTCCTCCTCCTCCTCCTCCTTCTCCACCTCCTCACTCCTTCACTCCTCCAAGCGAGGTCCTGCCACGAGGCGAGCTGGGCGTCCATCGCGGAGCCGCGCAGGCCTTCGAAGTACCTCCGCGCGGCGCCGCTCCTCTCACCGCAGCCGCCCCCCTGCCCCCCTCGGGAATCCCCGGGAGGAGGATGGAGATGTAGGTCTCCTTCTCCTCCTCCCTCCTCCTCCTGCTCCTTCCTCCTCCTCCTCCTCCTCCTCCTCCTCCTCCTCATCCTCCTATTCCGCCGCCCGCGCGAAATCCTTCGGCTCCTCTGGAGGACGCCACGCGCCCCCCTCAGCCGCAGCCTTGCCTGGGCGTAGGGCACGCACCAGCGCACCCAGACGTCGTCTGCGTCCGAGCCCTCTGCCCCCGCCAGCGTTGGCACCCAACGGCCGCTCCACCTCCTCAACTGTCGAGCGGGTGGTAGCGGGGGCTGATCCCAGTGGGGGGCAAAGAACACGCCGTAAAGGGGCTGCAGGGCCCCTTTGGGGCACCAGCTGGGGCCCCGTAGGGGGCCCTTTCTTCACCCCCCCATTTGGGCCACCCCCCGCTACCACCCGCCCGAAACTGGCCTTCCGGTCTCAGAACCTCGGAACCTGCTCACGCCAGCGGCGCGCGCCGGCGGTGGCGCAGAGGCCTGGCGCGCCGCTCTGGAGGCGCGGCTGCGGGCCCGGCCGGGGCCGCCGGACCAGTTGAGTCGATGCAGCTCCTCCCCGCCCTCAGAGGCGGGGCGCCCTGTTCGCATGGCTAGACACGTGAAGGCCTGCGGGGGGGCCCGCGGCCTCCTCCTGGGCTCCACGGCCCTGGCCCTGCTGGCCCCTGCTGGCCCTGGCCCTCCTCCTGGTCTTCGCGGCTCGTGCTATACCACGGCGTGGCGCCTGCTGACCCACTGGCCCCCCGTCGCTCCCGCGTGTCGGCGCAGTCTGCCGCCTCTGGGTCTGGCGCGCGCCTCCTCACCTAGAGGCCCCCTTTTGATGGGCTCCGAGCAGGTGGGGTCGGAGGATCGCGCCGCATCGCCACTGCCTCGTCGACATCGGCGCTGCATCGGCGACGTCGACGTGAAGCGAATCTGGCCCCACATCCGGCCGCCTCGGCGCCGCATCGACGATGCGGCGCGGCCCTCCGACCCCGCCTGCTCGGACCCCATCCAGCAGGCCTAGATCACTGGCTCCCTCGCACGGCTCCTGCTGCGGAGCGCAGCCCGCCCTGGGCGCACCTGGGAGCTCACGCGCCAGGTGACCGCACCTGGCCATCGCTCGGACGTCCATTCCCTGTGTTTTTATTCGGTTTCGGCTCTTGTTTTGTGTTTTTTTATTCCCGCTCCTCGATGGTCCTCACCGAGAGACAACTGCAAACGTCCGAGCGATGCCAAGGCACCGGCGGCGCTCCTCGGCTGCCGCCTCCGCACGCGCGCTGCTGCCGTGGCCCCCGGGCTCTCGAGGGCTCCCACCGGGCTCCGCTCCCGCCGCGTGCCGCCTGCCCGCCGCGGGCACGTGCTCGGCGAGCACTCCCCAGGCCTTGCTGTCGTGCCTTGTGCTTGTTCCCCACCGCCGCCGCCAAAAGTAGGAGGGGGAGGAGCTCCTCCTGCTCCTCCTCCTCCTGCTCCTCCTCCTCCTCCTCCTCCTCCTCCTCATCCGCTTCATCCTCCAGCTCCTTCCCCCCTCCAACTTCTGGTGGTGGCGGTGGGAAACAGGCCCACCATTGCCAACCGCCGCCTGGGCCTCCCTGCGTCGGGTGACCCCACCGCGTCGGGTCTGTCGTGCTCTGCTGCAGCGCGGCGGGGCGGCCCCATGCTGCCTACGGTCAGGCTCGGCCTTGGGAGCCGTGCGCCTCCAAAGCCCGCTCTGCTCCCGCATCGCTTCGACATCACTGTCCCTCGCAGCGGCCACGAGGTGGGGCCATCTGAGTGGATGTGAGTGCGCGTGAGTCTGAGTGTGTGTGTGTGTGTGTGTGTGGTACGTGATGCGTGGTGTGTGGTGTGTGGCGTGTGGTGTGTGGTGTGTGGTTTGTGGTTTGTGTGTAGGGGTGTATGTGTGTATGTGTGTATGTGTGTATGTGTATGTGTGTGTGTGTGTGCGTGAGTCCGAGCATGAGCTGTCCGAATGTGATGGGGAGGCTGGAGGCGGGTGAGGAGGCAGAGGCGCCCCAACAATAATCGTGCCCCACTACTTCGGATCTGGTGGAAAGAAACATGTATCTCTGGGGGAACCAAGAGGTAACGCTACCACTACTCCCCGGGCCTCTCCCTGGACGCGCTCTGACCACGAAGCCAGGCGTGGCGACGAGTGCCGCCCAGGAGGCCCAACAAGGGGAACGCGAGGCAAAGGGCAGCGGCATGGGTACCTTGTCCTCCTCAGAACTCAGAAGATTGCGGACAAAAACATGTATCTCGTTATCTCGTCAACGGCCTGGGGAAGAGGATAGAGGCTTCCTACATGGGGTCGGACTAGATGAGGTCCGAGGCCCGCGCCGCATCGCCGACGTCGGCGGTGCATCGGCGACGTCGTCGAGAAGCAAACCTAGGCCCACATCGAGCCGTATCGGCGATGCATCGGCGATGCGACGCGATCCTCCGACCCCATCTACTACGACCCCATCTGGGAGGCCTCCTCCTCCTTCTCCTCCTTATCATCCTCCTCCTCTCCCTCCTCCTCCTCCTCCTCCTCCTCCTCCTCCTCCTCCTCCTCCTCCTCTCCTCCTCCTCCTCCTCCTCCTCTCCTCCTCCTCCTCCTCCTACCCTCTCCTACTCCTCCTCCGTCTTCTCCTGCTCCTCCTGCCCCCTCCTCCTCATCCTCCTCCTCTTCCTCCTCCTCCTCCTCCTTCTCCTCCTCCTCGTCCTCGTCCTCCTTCTCCTCCTCCTCCTCCTCCTCCTCCTCCTCCTTCTCCTCCTCCTCCTTCTCGAGAGGACGGCCAACGACCTCTCGGCGGCGGCGGCCGGGCGGCGGCCTCTCGGCGCAACGCTCGTAGACGGCGCCGATGGTGCGCAGCAGGCGCCCGCCGAGGGACGCGCGGGCCAGGGCGGCGGCCTCCCGGGAGGCTTGCGCCAGGAAGCCCGCCTCGTCACGGCCTCTGCGGCAGCCCCTCCTCCTCCTCCTCCTCCTCCCCTCCTCCTCCACCCCCTCCTCCATAAATATGTTCTCCCTGTCTACCCCGAGGCCAGTTTTCAGGGCGGGCCGGGCGTTTCGCCTGAGACTTCCTCACCACTGATGACCCTGAATGCACGCGCTCCCCTACCCCCGTCGCGGAGAGAGGGGGAAGGAGGGATGCTCTTTTTCTTGAGCAACAAAGGACTGCAGGATTTCGGGTCATCACCCAAACCGTCTGATTATATTTTGATGTAGTCATATGTCTTAGTAAAACTACAAACTTCCTAACACTGAAACGTAAAAACTGACAACTGATTCAAATATGGAGGGCGGGTGGTTTGCAGAATGTGGCTCTCGCCTTAGCGACGCGCGCAAATATTTGAAACATTGCAAGGGTTTCACGGGTTGAGGGCGGGTCGTTTTCAACATGGGGCTTTCGCCTTAGCGCCCGGCACATTCGTTTTAAACCTTTGCAAGAATATTACGGATTAACGGCGGATCATTTTCAAAATGTGGCTCTCGCCTGAGCGCCACGCACATTCGTTTTAAACATTTGCAAGAGCTTCCCGGATTGAGGGCGGGTCGTTTTCAACATGTGGCTCTCGCCTCAGCGCCGCGCGCATTCGTTTGAAAACTTTGCAAGGGTTTCACGGATTGAGGGCGGGTGGTATTCAAAATGTGGCTCTCGCCCCAGCGCCGCGCACATGTATGCTTAAACATTCGCAAGAGTTTCACATATTGAGCGCAGGTGGTTTTCAAAATGTGGCCTTGGCGCTGCGCACATCCGTTTTACACACTTGCACGAGTTTCACGGATTGCCATGACCGACGCACCGGAAATTGTGTTGTTGAAAGATTCAAAATTATTCGGGTATCTTGGTTCGCTGTGTTGAAATCCCACAAATGGCTTCTGGCACGCTTCCAGACCGTCATGACGCAGCAGTGAAGTTGATCCGTGGCGTGGAAATCTCGAGATCAATGTTTCGGCATGCTCCAAGGTCTTTAAAAGGTTGTCCTCAAACGAGGCATTTCCCTCCATGGAAATGGTCCGTTGTAGGGGCCTATGAAGAGGGAGCTGGGGGGGAGGGCTAATTCCAACATCGTTGATGACTCTTGGGTTTACACTGGTCCTCCTCCTCCCTCTCCTCCTTCTCATCCGCCTCCTCCTCCTCCCCTCCTCCACCACAATCCCCCTTCCTTATAAATTCGCCGGCCCAACGGGCCAGGGCGTGCTAAGATCTCCGGTAACTGGTTAACAGTATTAACAATATTTCTAGTTCGCGCGCGCGGGGCGGCCCCTGGGGGTCCCCCGGCGAAAAGTACCCCCACCAACGCCCGGTCGCCGCCCGACCGCCGCCCGACCAAGTCTACTCAGAGATGGTTTTCCTTCTGGGTGCGGCCTCTCAGGCTCCCCAGAGCGCGCTCAGAGTGCCCCAAGAGGCCCCCAAGACTGCCCAAGAGGCCCCCGAGACGCCCAAAGAGCGCTCGAAGACGCCGAAGATGACCCCAAGACGGCCCAAAAGGCCCCCAAGACAGCCCAAGAGGCCTCCAAGACGCCCCAAGAGCCTTCCAAGAGGCCTCCGAAGAGAGCCCCAAGAGGCCAAAATCGTTGATTGTCATTGGTTTTTTCGATGTTTTTTGTGTTCTGGCTTTTTCGGCTTCCGGACGCTCCAAGACGGCCCAAGAGGCCCCCAAGACCGCTCCAAGACGGCCCACGAAGCTCCCAAGACGGCGCCGAAACGACCCAAGAGAGCCCTCAAGACGGCCCAAGTGCCGCCCAAGACGGACCAAGAGGCCCCAAGACGGGCCCAAGAGGGACTCAGGAGGGATACCGAGAACTCAAAAATGGAGCCCTCCGTCCCAGAAGGCGCCCAGGAGGTCCCAAAGAGGCCCCAAGAGGCCTCCAAGAGGCCCCAAGATGTCGCCAAGAGGCCCCAGGAGACTCCCAGGAGGCCCAAAAGAAGTGCTTTCAAACATGTCTCCCAGGCGCCCCCGAACGGCCTCTCAACAGACCCCAAGAGGCCCCCCAAAGAAGCATCTTGACGACGACTCTATTTCGCCCCATCGAGAGACGACCCCCAGGGAACTGCTTCACCATCAAAACTCCCCACGCAACGCGTCCGAACGACACCCGCCCCCAAGAGCGCAACATGGGCAACGAACACACAGACAAAAACCAACGATGCCATATCACGGGCCGGCGGAATGAGCGAAGCGATTCAATAATTTCTCCTTCGCCAGTTAGGATTCTGAAACTTAAAAGATGGAAGCAGTTTCACGTATGGACCGCGGGTTGTTTTCAAAGTGTGGCTCTCGCCTTAGCGCCGCGCACATTCGCTTTTAACTTTGCAAGAGTTTCACGGACTGAGCGCGGTTCCTTTTCAACATGTGGCCTTCGCCTTAGCGCCGCGCACAATGGTTTTGAACAAATCGCAGCATGTCACGGATTGAGGGCGGGTCGATATGAAAATGTGTCTCTCGCCGAAGCACCGCGCGTATTCACTGTGATCGTGTGTAAGAGCTTCACGGATTGAGGGCGGGTGGTTTTCAACATGCGACTCTCACCTTGGCACCGCGCACACTCGTTTTAAACATTTGCAAGAGCTTCCCGGATTGAGGGCGGGTCGTTTTCAACACGTGGCCCTCGCCTTAGCGCCGCGCACATTCATGAAAACATTAGCAACAGCTTCACGGACTGCGGGCGGTGGCTTTTCAACATGTGGCACAATGAGCGTACCACGACTTGCTTTTTGCAAGGAGTCAGTATTTTGCGGGCGCAACAGTTATGTTGATTCGCGGTTTTGTCCAACAGAAATGGCGTTCTGGTATTCCGGATTGTCAGGACTCAGCAGTCAGGTTGATCCGTGGCGTTGAAATCCCGCGAACAATGTTTTGGCATGCTTCGGGGTCTTTAAAAGGTTGTCTTCCAACGAGGAGGTTCCCTCCATGGAAATGGTCCGTTGTAGGGGCCTGTGAAGAGGGAGCTGGGGGGGAGGGCTAATTCCAACATCGTTGATGGCTCTTGGGTTTACACTGGTCCTCCTCCTCCCTCTCCTCCTCCGCCTCCCCCGTCCGCCTGCTGGCCGCCAGGGAACCCGAGCGCCCCTCCCCGTGCGTTCGCCTCCTCCCCGCAAGGGCCGCCGCCTCCCTGCAAGGGCCGGGCGGCGACGGCTCTCCGCTCCATCTCGCCTCCCCTCGCGCCGTGAAACAACCATAACGGGGGGGAGGAAGAGGAGGGGGAGGAGGAAGAGGAGGAGGGGGAGGAGGAGGAGGAGGAGGAGGAGGAGGAGGAGGAGGCGGAGGAGGAGGCGGAGGAGGAGGAGGAGAGAGGAGGAGAAGGAGGAGGAGGAGGAGAGGAGAAGGAGGAGGAGGAGGAGGAGGAGGGAGGAGGAGGAGGATGAGGAGGAGAAGGAGGAGAAGGAGGAGGAGGCCTCCCAGATGGCGTCGGAGCAGGTGGGGCTGGAGGGTCGCGCCACATCGCCGATGCACCGCCGACGCGGCTCAACTCGGAGCCCGATTTTCTCGACGCCGACAGCGGCGATACGCCGCCGACGTTGCCGATGCATCGGCGATGCATCACCGGTGCATCGGCGATGCATTGGCGATGCGGCGCGATCCTCCAACCCCATCTACTCGGACCCCATCTGGGAGGCTTCTAGTTTTGTTCGCTACTTTGAGCGTCCAGGGACCTTTCTCGGCCTCGGGACCCTCAAGAAACGACTCAGGATGAGAAACCCGTCCCAGACCCCCGACGTCATGACCTTTCATGGGGCGACTCCTGAGAGGTCCGGACCCATTTCCCCGGACCGCTTTTTTTCATCCTGAAGCGTTTTTTTTGACGCTCCGGAGGCCCGGCAAGGGGCCCCGTGAGGCGGGACATGGGGAAACACATCCCGTGGACTTTTTCTGCTGTTCTTCGCAGGGCGAGGGGGTCCCGCAGGGTCCCTTGGGGAAGGGGTGCAGACCCCGCGGGGCTCTCCGCGGGGCGCCTGGGGCCGTCTATAGAAGACACTGCTCGGGGCGAGGGGCCGGGCCCGGGGAGCCCACGCCGGGCCCCGGGCCCGGCTCCTGCGGGGGGACTCCCAGTGTTCCTTCCCGGGGAGGGGGGGTCGATCCCTGGGGAGGATGCCTTCGGGGCCCCTTCTGCCTTCCCGGGGAGGGGGGTCGATCCCTGATTCCTGCCCTTCCTGGGACCCCCGCTTCCTTCCTGGGAAGGGGGTCGATTCGGGCGAGTCGATCGCACGCTTCAGCTCCTGCTGTGGCGACAGGGCCCGCGAGGAACTGACGACAGCAACGAGGAACTCCCCCCCCAAAACAGGCCCGACGCGAGCGGCCCAGAAGCCGCCCAAGGACCCTGTCCTGGGTCTGTCATAGGTCTGTCGTAGGATTCATAGGCCGAGGTTGGCACGAAGGAAACTCACGGGAGGTATGGCGACCTCATTCCCCGACTTCGTAGGTTTTCGAACGGACCAGGAATTTGAGGCCGATCTCGGGGATATGAATGTATATATATATATATATACACATATATGTATACGAGCGGGGCCGTCCATCTTCGCCAGGGGGGCGTCCGAAGAGCCCCCACCAGAGGTGAATCCCCGAGCTCCCACCCTGTTCCTAGCGGCCCATTTTTGTGGGCGGAGCTCGGGGAGAAGGGTCGACGAATCGCCTGCGAGAAGCGGGTCCTAGAGGAAACGGTCGGGCGCACGCCAGCATGCAGCAGTGAGCCGTGGATCTGGTGCGTGGGCGCCAGATCCACCAATCGGGAGGAGTACCCCTGACACATGAGGCCAACGCCGCCTCGTCTGGCGACGACGCGCGCCGAGCTGGCATGGAAGCGGGACCCGTCGCTGCTCCACGCGCCTGGATCCATGCTTGCGCTCTGTCGAAAGAGGGTGCTGAAAAGTGGTCGCCGCCGTCGCGCCCCTGGGCCCTCCCAGGGGCGCCGGGGTCGTCAACACAAGAGCTCGGGATGAGGAGCTGGTCGCCAGACGTGCGACGATCTGCACTCTGTAGGGCGCCGCCCCAGAAGTCCCGGCCCCTCTCCCAGGGTCCTGCTTCCTGCTGCCCCCCATCGAGCCTCCGCAAGCCTCCGTTTGGATCTCTCGGTCAGGCCGCCGATGAGGCTCTGACGAATCTGAGCTGTGCACGCTGCACCCTCTCAAAGCTCAGGACAGGTTCTGCAAAACCCAATGCCACTCTTCCTCTTCAGGACCGAGCTCGACGGATCGACAAGAGTGCATCTTCGAGGAGTTCGAGCCGAACAGTCTAAGAGCTGCTCTGCGCCTGCGCCGGCGTTCGTCGGCTGCTGAGGCCACGGCCGATGACCCACTTCTCGAGCCGCTCGCACAGATGCCTGGCGCACTGCACCTCCCTGGCGAACTGCTGCCGCCGGATCCGCTTCGCCCTCCTTAGGGGGCCACGTGCGAAACCTACCCCTACCCCCAACGATTTCTGAGGGGCAGGGTGGGGTTCACTTCGTTCGGGAGCTCCCGAGCGAAGTGACCCCCCCACTCCACCTCAGAAATCGTGGGGGGTAGGGGTAGGGTTCGCACGTGGCCCCTTACTCCTGGCGTCGGCCGACCAGCCGACCTGGCGCTCGACAGACGTGCCCATGAGGTGGGTGGAGACGGCGCCGCCCTGGTCGGCGCCCCGCATCTTCCGGTGAAGGTCCTTCGAGATCCGGTCCGTCTGCGTGGCCAGGAACAGCTTGCCGATGTACCTGTCTCCAGGCTTACAGTCGGGGCGTTGACCTCAGGAACCCTGAATAAGGAACGAAGCCCCTTTTTCTCATAAGTTAACCTTCGACTTCCCACCAACAACTTCAGGAAAACATTGGGCAAGGTGTGGAACAATTAAGGAACACCGAGCCCCTCCCCAACGAAAAGGGTTCCTTCTTCAAGACCCATACTGTAGGTCGGGCACGTCCCCCTACAGGCAGATTCGGGGCGAAAAATACAACAGATTTCAAACAAAAACACTCACGAGTAGTACAAACTAGTCGAAACATCGTCCCCTGACGATTTGTTTTAAACTATTTTTGCTCATTCCTCCTGTAGAGGGACAGACCCGACTCAACGACAGGCTCGGAATCTCCCCCCCCCCGCGCAGTGCTCCCTGGGCGCGCTCGGACCAGGACTCCGGGGCGGATCCCACCGTGGCGACGGCGGCCCTCTCTTCAGGCGACCTCCAACAGCCGATCAGACCGCAGCGTGCCATGTTCCGTCGTCCCCTATCCTCCTCCCCGCCTCCTCCTCCCTGCATCCTCCTCCTCCTCCCTCTCCTCCCCTACTGCTCCTCCTCCCAGGGGCCCTGCCCAGCGCCGAGAAGCATGCAGCCCACCCCCTCTCATCCTCGTCCTCGTCCTGCCTTCCCGCCTCATGGCCTGCCCGCGCGTGGCCGCCACGGCGAGCTAGAGGCCACCCGACCAGACCGACACCCGGGCTGGGGAAACCGAAAGGTACCAAAACCGCTACTCCGCAGACCTCTCTCGGGGTGCTCCCTGACCAGACTTCGAGACGAATCCAGCTGTGGCGACGAGGGCCTCCCAGGAAGCCCCAAAAAGGCGAACACGATGGAGGGGTAGCGGCATGGCTTTTCCTTCTCTGACAGACCCGATGCCTTGGAGCAGCGGCAAGAACACCTCCGCGCAAGCACTGCTTGGGGAGCAACAGAAATCATAACGCCTGACATCTCGGGGCCCCCGCTCGTCCGACCCGACTCTCGCCACATCGCTCGGTCGGCCACTCCACTTGCAGTTTTCGAGTTCGTGCACTTCTATGTTTCCACCAGATCCGTCCAGATGTGATGAACCCAAAACAGGATCCCTAACCCTTGTCGGAGGGGGCTGCTATCAGGAGGGCCAGAAACATTCGGGATAGGGGGCCTTTTTTTTCTGCAGATGTATCAGACCAAACCGCCCAACACTATTATCCCCAAT